TGGCGGTCCAGCACGCCCTCTGCTGTTGAGAAGTCCCCACAGCAGGCCGGAGTCTGTGGGAGAAACGTCTAAGGGTCTAGGGACGGTTCTCCCCTGACCTTCTGATGTTCGGGGGATATTCTCCCAACAAATAAACCACATGAAACTGACACTGACCCGTAAAAGATAGATGACTGTTTTAAAATGGCCGACAGCTCGAGATAACATCCCGACCTATCAGGTTCAGTTGTGGATAAATGAGGATTTATGGTGCTCGTATTGGAGTGCATATTCACATGTGTATTTAGTTTGATTATTTGAGTCAAAGTCACTTAAAAAATTATGAGTTTCTTTCTTTTTTCTTTTTTTTAACCTGTTTGTAATCCCTCCGCTCGAGGGCCGGATCCAGCTCTCCACAGAGGTCCAAGTCCAGTCAAAATCAGAGTCTGTTCTCATGAAAACGTGAAAAAGATAAGTTAGCATGAAGCTAACAGTATGTAGCACAGAGCTAGAGGAGTTATGTCACATATACAGCCTTTAAAATCCCCTTTTAGAGCCTTTCCTGTGCAGCCAGGAGACAAAGTCCACAACTGTATTAGCAGCTGGTGTCCAGCAGAGGGCGCTGCTCTGCTGGTTCCTCAGAGCTGGTTTGAGACATATCCACAAGTATTAGAGTTAAATAAGACAAAGAATAAACCTGAAAACGTCCTCTTTAAATAAATGGTCTACATTTAACCAGAAATGATTATTTTTTCTAGATTTATTTGGAGCAGCATGAGTGTGTTGAATATATTAAATTATCATTTCAATTAAAAAAAACTCCTTTAGTTTAATTTTAGGTTTATTTTTTTACCATACTAGCTTGTTTGACCTAATCTACAACCAGTAGATTTTTGTGATAAAAAAAACATGTTTCTTATTGTACTAGTCCCCCAAAACAGATACTTATTAAAAATAATTTGGCAACAACATTAACCTGACCATATAATAAATAATAAAAAAGAAGTTTTCTGCCTGTTTTCCATAGTTTTCTGGGTATTTCTGGCTCCTAAAATATAAAAATTATGGAAAGCCTCCTTATTTTCCAGAGTTTTCTGGATATATCTGACTTCTAGAATATAATAAGAGTGCATATCTTCAACTGTTTTTGAGGATATCTGGCTCCTAGAAAAATAAAAAGAGTGTAAAACCTGCTTATTTTACTGAGTTTTCTGGAGATATCTGACTCCTAGAATATAAAAAGAGTGTAAAAGTTGCTTATTTTCTAGAGTTTTCTGAAGATATCTGACTCCTAGAGTATAAAAGTAGTGGAAAACCTGCTTATTTTCAAGAGTTTTCGAGGATATCTGGCTCCTAGAATATAAACATTTTGGAAAACCTGCTTAATTTCCAGCGTTTTCTGCAGGATATCTGACTCCTAGAATAAACCCTGGCCTCCTCCACCTCTGCAGGCTGTTCCTGTCCTGAAGAGTGTGAGAAAATAGCCTCGGTGCTAAATAATTCATTCAGTCTCCTCTCCCAGCCAGTCGACGCTTCTCTCTCTGCTTCCTCATTCACAGACTCCCCCCCCCCACCCCACCCCCCCCCCCCCCCCCCCCCGCACCCTTTCCCCCGGCTTTGGCCCCCCCCCCGACCCCCCCCCCCCCCCTCCCTCCATCATCCTCCCCCTGACTCTCCCAGGATGCGCCCCTAGTTCCAGAGACAGGGATGTGGACCCGTCCTTTAGCAGAGGAATAACACGTCCACGTCCGCGTACACGTCCGCGTGCACGTCCGCGTCCACGTCCCCTGAGTGGACGCAGCCCACTGACGGCCCACATGGACGCGCCGCGCGCGCCCGGCTGATCCAACGGCGGTGAGGACGCAGAAAAGCGCAGAAAAGGAGCGTTTTTACGCGTTACGCG